AGCGGCTAAATTTAGTTTGAATATATGTATTCCATCTCCCCAGCATGAGTTAGATTTTTAAAGCACTGAGCCGGGGCAACTGTGGAGAGAGCTGAGAGAGATGTGTTCCCAGGCAAAAACAAGGGCCCAGAATTTGAGGCATCCAACTTGGGGCCAAGATGGATGGCACAGGGGCCAGACCACCTTCAGTCTGAGGGCCTGTGTTGAGGGTTGTTATTGGAAGCCAGAGGATGTGACCCTTATTTCCGGAGAAGAATCACGTGCAACCAAGGCATGGCATTGATTGAGCCACTTTTTAAAAATCCCTGCCTGCTGTTGGAGATATTCCCACCTCTTAAGGGGACGCGAGTTTGGAAAGTCCAGGTCTGGGAAGCTTGCCAAAGGCTGAACAGGACCCGGTAAAGGGTCAGACTTCCTCCGAGAGCGAGAGAGCGAGCAAGCCTGCTGTCAGTACCCACTGTGCAAAGGTGTCGCCCCTGCTTATTTCTGCTACAGCAGCTTTCTCCTGCAGTACACGAAGTATTGTTCTTCTGTTGGGGAAATACACCTTTCTGTGAAAGCAAAGTTGGTCCTACTGCTCTGTTCCAGCACAAGGATGAAAAAAAGTTTTCCATGTGAATAACACTGAAAGTTTTATTTTAGCACCCTCAAATCAACCTAAAATCTTTCTTCCCTCTGTTCCTGTTTTTGTCATGAGCTCATACAGCAAAATGGTACTTTTTAAACATAGAAACTTCCCATCCACGCGAATTATAGAGTTGTCCATTTCCAACATCCGTCTGTCTTCCCGTTCTGAGAGCCAAGGGCAAACACCAGTCACTTCTCGGAGGGTGAGACGGATCTCCTGGCCACCAGTGACTGGGAGTGTTCCTTATGGGTATCCACACAGGCACCGAAGAGTTTGGGCCGCTGCTTTTGCAGAAAGAAACCAACGTCTTGTTCAATCGCGCAACTGTGGGCTGTTGATTGAAGTCTCTGGCTCAGACTAACTCATCTCTGCCTTCAGAAAAACAGTTGGCTACCCTCTGATCATCAATGGAGTCTTCAGTGCCAACTCATGGTTCAACGGCAAATACGGTTTTCAAAGACAACCTTCTGTTGGCAGGATACCAGTGACAGGGCCAAACTTTCTCAGTTTGTCACTCCCCATCGGTCACGGGGGTTCAGTATCAAGTGAGAAGGAGTAGGAACGGCAGGAGGCAGAGGCAGGATACCTGTGCAGCCGGCTCAGGTGTTCAACCAGGTTCCGGACAGAGAAGAATTGTTCACTGACATTCACAAGGGAGACATTCCTAAGCAGCCCCAAGAGGGGATGCAGAGGTGTGAGAACTGCTATCACCTGCCGTGTTCTGTGGGTTCATTCTTCTGGGATGGGGCATCTGAATGATGTTGGACCTCGACCTGGGCTTGTCCGTGGTATGCCCGGTATGCCCGGGGTGTTTCTGCTCCTCCTCCTCTGCTCTCTGCAGAGGAGAGTTTCAGATCTCTCTTTCCACAGAGCACTAAGAGGTAAGGACACGTTCAAGTGCCCAACTTGGACAATAAAGTAAATTAAGGAACAAACTTCAGTGCTCTGGCCTCACTCCCGCTGCCTTTTCTGCACCTGTAACTCGGAGAAGAAAACAGCCGGTTATTTATTTGTATGGCACTTCCCGCCTCAGCTCTCTAGCGAGTTGACCCGATTTTTCTAGTCCCTTCACCCACTCCTCACAAGCCCCACCCCCACCCCACCCCATCACGGAGTGGCTGAGGAGATCTGTAAGTGGGATGAAGCAGCTGTTGGCTTCATGCCGTCCTCTAACTTGATTATTCTTTGGACACGTTAGGCAAGCATTAGTGATTGATAATGACGCTAATTAACCCCTTTCCTTTCCAAACAGCAAACTGCTGCCAGCAGGATGCTACAAACAATAAATATAAAACACTGCATACATCAATATCTGTTTAAAAAGCACAACTTCATTTGGGCACACTGAACTCCAACTGCTCTCAGCTAACAGCTCAGTATATTCCAGCACTTTCCCAAAAGCTGGGGGAGGGAGGCTGAGGTAGAGAGAGGGTTAAGAAAAGGGGCCTGTGGCTTTAAGACCACAAACTGCTGTCCTACCTGTCAGCTGCAGTGAAGTTAACCTCTAATGGAAACCATGCGTTTGGGTTGTTGTTTTTTTTTTTTAATATATATTTCAGGTCTATACTTTTTAAAAACTTAATTAATCCAGCTTTGCTCTTAACCTATTTAAACTTAACACAAGGCTGATGACCACATATGACTTTTTTTTTTTTTCTCTGTAGGGGAAAGCAGCTCTCCTGCCTGACATAGAATTGCTGTGAATTTGTTTCTGGTTGAGAAAGGAATGGGGAGACATTGTTTCACAAAAAGGTAAAATTTAGTTTTACCCAGGATTTAGGGAAAGCAGAGCACACATGATCTGATTGTGCAGTCTAACATAACCTGTAAGGAACTGTACATTAAATTTGGAATTTTGATAAATGAATATTCCTAGCAAGTGAATAAAATGTATTCAATTAACTAAAACCCTGTGCACTTCTGAACTGAAGTGGAATCGACTGTAATTGATTTATTTGAAACCAGAGGTTAAGGACTGAATTAGCTAAGTACAACTGGGTATTTCAAGCCACTGACTTCTCAAATGTCAAATCCCTTCTATTTTAAATATTATTTCAGCTGCGGGGCATTGCAGTCCTGATGGTAGTTCCATCAAGAACGCAAATTATATTAATATTCGATTTTGGGGAGGAATAGACTGGACTGTGATTTTTAAAGGGTGTTGGAGAAGAGAGGGGGTGATAATGACTAGCCAACTGGAGGGAGCATTGTGTTTCCTTCAAAACTGGGCGTGGTGATTAACATAGACTAGCCAGTCAGCCTCCTTATAATTCAACGATGTATCCTAATTTGATGTAATCCAAAGAGAACCGCTGTAGTTAGAATATCAACACCTGTCCTGACAAGGAAACAGCATGTGTTGGAGAAAGTACACACTGGTCCTAACAGAGACAGCCAAATCCACAGAGCCTTTGGTTTATCCAATAAAAATAATTTTTAATAATCATCTCTCATCTCTTAAAAATATGAGACTTTTTTTTAACTTCTTCGTTGAAAAAGGTGACCACATCATGATCCTCAAAATGCCCAACTCACAGAATAAAAATAACTAATGCCCTGCCTTTAGGAAGCCATTGTTTATTATGACCTTGTACTGTTCTAACCCGCTATTTCCTCTCTATCTTTCTCAGGATGCAAGGATTATATGGGGTTCAGGCTTTCCAACATAACGAGCATCTGTAAATCCAGATATGAATGAATGGTATTTAATAAGATTGTTTTCGTTTTAAAATGAGTATTTATGTGTCATTGGAGAAGGCGCAGCAATGGATGGCTGTTTATGAATGCGATTGTGCCTGAGGTTAGGGTCCCCCACACAATCTGAGATGCAGCCAAGAAAAACAGCCCTGATAGACAATGCTTCACTTCACCTGCTACGATGCTGTGCGCATTTCATTTCTGTCAAGAGTATGTACAGTTAGGGTTCATTCGCCTCATTATTTTGTTACAGCTACGTTACAGTTAACCAGTCTCTCTAGGAAATAATAAATAACCGCTTTAAAAAACAATTGCCGCGTTGCGTTCTGAGAATACACTTTCCATTTGAATTTTTTTTAAACCCACCATTGTTATGAATTCTCCGGCTTTGGAAAATAGAATTTAGACTCCAGCAACTCTCGTTCCTCTGTCGAGATTGATTTTACACTGCCTTCCATAAGGAGCTTAGGAAGTGGAGGTTGCAAAATGGACTCCCTCGAATGCTTTGCATCCTTGGTCCTTCGCAATGTCAAACCACAGGCACCAGTGTCCAGGCTCGTCCAGTCTGGCTGTCCTAAATACTTTCTCTACCACCTTTCCTTTCAACCTTCCAGTGAATCAGCTGGAATCCTCCTCACTTCCAAAGCAAAGAATTTCCAAATCAGTTTACAAAAGCTCTGACTCCTTCCCTCTCTGAGCTCAGCACACAGTCCCCATTTTTTGCAGAAGGCGGAGGGGAGAGGCCTGGTGAGGCCAGCTTCACAGCCCTCGCAGAGCCCTCCCCCCCCCCACCTCGGAGAACACGTGGAATTTTCTGGAAGGACCTAGGAGGCGCTCCCATGGAGACAGGGAGGGTTGGGCAGGCCTTCAGGGGCAAGCTGCCAAGATTGCAGGGACCAACATCCTTCCCACTCCTCTCTGCGACCTCAGGAACCGCCCAGCAGTAAAGTGGGCTCTAAATAGCATCTTAAAATCAGTGAGAGGTACTGGGCCCTCTCTCTCTGGGTTCCCCAATTTTTCCTGCCACTGTTGCTTTTCTCTTCCCAGAAAACTATAGGCGGTGTCAGCGCCTGTGTGGGTCTCAGCCACAGAGAAGCAGGAGCGAACATGTGAAGGTGGAGGTGGGCATTTCCTCCGTGCTAGTGAACTAACAATTGAAATGTCAGTATCCTCTGCAGATTCCCAAGCAGTTATGGGGGGGAGGGGTCTTCTGGTCTCCAGGTCTGCGGCTTCCTTGTCATCCTTAATGTTGGGTTCTGAAGGTTTTAATATTTTGGTTTCCAAAACACAAATGAAAACCTAAAGGAACAACATAAATAAAATTAAACTTTATTTTTAATAATAAAATTAATGTTTCTAGTAAGGAAAAGATAGTATGTCATTCCTTTAGCAGTACAAACAATCTTTTATCCAAAAGAATACATTGGGTTTTATTGTGTCATTTGTCTGAATACAGACTCAGTGGAATATCTAAATGATACCCTGCTCTGAACTCCAAGTTGAAAGTAAGTTTTTATTATACTTGAGGGAAACAATGGGTTCAGCTGCTTATTGCAAGGAGCAATTGGCAAGGGAGAGTTAAACTCAATTACTGTAACCATACTGAATAAAAAATACTGCCAAGAACAAAAATACGCCTGGGTAAAGACAGCCACTGAATAAAAAAAAATCGACATAAAGCGTATCAAATATTTATTTATCTGGGCAACAAAGGACTATGATACATTGACAGGCATGGAAACTACTGCCAGCACAACTCAATACAATACAACTAGAACTGCTTCCAATATGGCCAGCGAAATACAGACTACCAGGTGCTCCCAAATGTTTGAAGTTCTCTGAACAAAAAGAGAGAGAGAGAAACAGAGAGAGAGAGAGAGAGAGAATCCCTAACCCTTGGTTTAAAGACAATATCCATTTATTGCTCAAATGATGGTTTCAAGGGAGGACAGTGGAATAAAATAAACTTTTGTTTTTCCTCCCCATGATACACAGAAGGGTTATCAAACCACTCAAGTTTAAAAATCATCCTGGGGTCCAGCATCACTTTTTACTTTCATTTCAATGAAAAGCTAAACGTAACACTAATTATAAATAAATTTTATTTTACTTTTTAAAATCTGTTCAGCTGTTTCATTGTCACCTTTAACATGCTACGACAGGGCTAAATTCATGAATCCCAGAGGGGGGAGAAAAAAAAAAAAAAGTTCCCCAAACCTTGGATTTCTAAGTAAGTACCATGAACCACAATGAAGAACTAATAGGAAAGATTCAGAACCCACTAAACAAGAGGTAAACGAGATCACCAGATAAATAAAAAAAGGCTTAAAACAGACTCACCATATTTACAATTCCCATTAAATTACACATAAATAAATATATACAGAGTCGTGAACACTGATTCCCTTATAGAACTGAATCGTGTTGCCAGAGTTCAAGTTGGTCGCTTTACCTTGAGGAGGGAAAACTTCTACAACTGAAGACATGACATGGAACTTCGTGTATTTGTGTTCAAGTTTATTCACAATACTGATAAAAATGTCATTATCCTTTTTGCCTTTTATTATTATTATTCTTTTAGTATGGCTACAATCTGGAGTGTGTAAGGGAAGGTGGTGATTCAGTCCCATGAAGCTCATATAATTTTTTTTTAATTTTTATGTTATTTTTTCTAGAAAAAAAGTTTTTATTTATTTATTTTTGTTGCTGTTGTTGATTAAAAAAAAAAAAAAGACTGTTCACAAACTCGACAGAACTTTTCTCGGCGGGCTTCACGGCCTGTTCATGTTCTCTCGGGCGCCACAAGAGGGCAGGGGCTGTCGGCGCTGACGGGGAGGTCGAGGCAGGGGCCGCGGCGGCGCCCCCGACGGCGGGGAGAGCAGTCCGGCACCTGCTCACTTCCTGTGCTTCTCCTCTTTGTCGCTGCTTTTGGCGCTGTTGTCCGTGTGGCTGTTGGGGTTGTTACTGAGGTACATTTTGTCCATGGCCTTGAGGGCCTCGGTGAGATAGTTCTGCAGGGCCGTGACCGCGGCGCACACGGCCGGGCTGCCGAAGCCGTGGGAGATGAGGTTGAAGTGAGTCAGGCAGCTCTGGATGCCCGGCTCCAGGATGGGGTTGGGCCGCGAGTTCCCCAGGGGAGACCGGTCCTGGGCCAGCAGGTCGGTGAACTCTTTGCAAATCTGTCTGCAGCACAGGAGAGCAGAGAGACAGAGAGAGGGAGGAGGTGAGGTTCTGCTTGGGGCGCCGGCAGCCAGGAGCAAACCTCTCCTCCCCCTGCAGTGCCCTCTGCCTGCCTGAGATGGACTGCGGGTCCAAGAGGGCATGGAGGCCAGGCCCCTCTCAGCGCCCACTCAGCCGTCTCGTCTTCCCCCAAGGCATGCTGTTCCTCTCTCTCTCTCTCTCTCTCTCTCACACACACACACACAGGCACCCCTTTCTCACTCGTGCCAAACTTCCACCCCCACCTTTCCTCACTGACACCAAGCCATCCCAGACTCAGGAAGACATCTCACAACTGGGAGAGACGCACAGAGAGCCAGAGCTACAGTCAGAAACACAGCATCTCCCCAGTTCCGTGCACGCTTCCCGCCCCGCCCCGTGAGGCTTCCTGTGCAAAATATCCTGGGCTCACTCTGCACCCCTTCCTCCAGGGAGCCCTCAGTCAAGTCCCCTCACATTCAGCTCCAACTCAAACCAGGCTGAATTCAGACAGAAAAGGGCAAAACTCTGGGATTATTCAAAAAGGCAAAAATCTTTACTTGGGGGGTGATTTTGCCTTTCAGAAATAATGGGCTTGAGGAACCCTGTTACTCAGCAGTAATTCTAGGTGGTTCGGGGAAGAAACAGGTGCTTCAATTTCCCACCCCTCCTCTCCCCACCCCCACGGGCCTAAAAATTAAAAGAGAAAAAAATTATCTATTTAGAAGGCTCAGAAGCCCAAGGGAAGAGGAAAAGTTAGAATTCCTGAACAGATTTGGAAAAGTTAGAAAGGAGGCCTCCACACCCCCGGAAGCGCGGCCCTGAGTTAGGCTGTCTGGAGGCAGCAGCAGCTTGGCCTGGGGGAGGTGTTGGGGGGGGGACTGCTTTCCTCCTCCAAGGCCAGATGATGTCCCAGGGCCAGAAACCCTGCCCCGCCCAAGGCCTCTGCTTCTGCCCTCTGCGACATGGACTTTTGATAATTAAGGGCTTCCAAACAAGCCTTTTAATTTCCAGAAAACATATCAAAACAGTCATTTTCTTTTCACACACCACCTGGAGAAGCCCATTCAGCCCCGGCACCGGTGGGAATATAACTTGGGCCATTCGGAAACCTCCGACGTGTTGCCTGTAGGCTCAAACTTGTGGGGTAGAGGCGTGTGTGTGTGTGTGTGTGTGTGCGTGTGTGTGTGGCATTTTTGAACAGGGAGCGAAAAGGAAGGTGAGAAATGGAATAAGGGAGTAGGGTTGAAACTAGGACGGCTCCCGCCTCGCCCATTTTGCAGGCCGATGCTTAATCTTTGTCCTTGGAGAACATGTTGACAGGAGACAACAGCTGATGGAGGTGAACCTGTCACCCATGTGAGGATTTCATTCTGGTCTTTGTGAAACAGCACAGCCACAAACCTGCACTCAGCTTCCCATCAAACCCCAACCCTACCCCGCTTCTGGGCAGGCAACAGAGCAATAGTGGAACAGAAGACAGAGGAAAGATGGGAGGGCACAAACACTGCCACTCCAGGCTCCCCTACAACAGGGATCCTGGTCTTAAAACTGCTGCAGCTTCAATACTGACCACACAAAGCTGATTAGCATAAAAGGAGGAAAGGGAGAGCGAAGCTGACATGGAGACACAGACCGCCGAGGGAAATGCCTTACTTTGTAGCCAGGAGCATGTTTTTTCTTGTCACTTGCTCATTGGGATCGGAATGTTGTCGGTTGAGAAATTCAGCTACTGCTTTGGCAGGAAATTCAGTTTCGCACACATACCCAAAGTCCCTGGCTAGGTGGACGGCTTCTCCTGGTAGGAGGGGAGAGACGGGAGGTGAGGGCCAGAGGAGGAAGAGTCAGGATCAAAACTCCCTCCCCGCTCCCTGATTTCCTTAACCCAGAGGCCGAAGCAAACACAAACAACTTCTCTCATTTCAGGGATTCTGTGCCCTCCTCTGAAGGCCTGGTGGATGCTTTTATCAGGAGAAAACAGCCTCTGGTCCCTACAAGGCCAAGATTTGAAAATGTAAATCCCATTCACCAGCTGAATGGCACTTTCCCCACTTCTCTTCTAAAACATTTCTTGTAGTCCAACCTCACACCTATCAACACGTTCATAAATGATATTCATAATTACTCCTTGAGCTTTTCTGCAAGGGAACCACTGAGGGTTTACATTTTAACTTGATCACGTATAATTATCTGTTCATCCAACCCGATTAACCAAAAGGATTTGAGGGTCACTCCACTGAGTCTGTCTGTGTTGTTGATTTTCGAATCTTTGGTTTTAATTTCCTGAACCAGTTGGTTTTTACTGCAGGGCTTCCTGCCATTAGCTCCAGCTCCGGAAGAACGCATGCGCCAATTAGAGCATCAAAGCTCTCTCCGCAGAGCTTGTTTCCATAAAATGGAGCGGATCACAAACAATAACAGTTCTCCAGAAACCGCCTCCCTGCCACAGCATCAGCCCCCAAGCCCTGCCAGGTCTCACGCTACACCCGAGGCCACCACTACCATTTTCTTGGTATACAACTCTCCGGGGGTACGAACAGTGGCTCCTCTACGGACTGTTATTATTTTTAATATAATGCTACTGTAGTTGACTTTCTGGCACTGAACAATTGCTGATGTTTCAAGCAGTCAGATTATTATCATATTTTCCACGACTACCAAACATCATTTTGAAGAAATTTACAAAGAACCTGTACTCAGCTGCAATGTATCTTCTCAAATCCCAAGTGTAAATAAGAGAAAAAGTACTTCTTTAAATATAACTGCTACTTTTAAATCTGCTTGAAATGTAAGTGCCCTTTGTTTCTTCTTTATTAGCAGGAGACATTTACAATAGGACACAAAGACAAAAAATGTGAGAGCTATTCTCCTTCCAACACAGCCAAACATCCGCCAGTGAAATATCTGAAAATATAACAGGCAGCAGGAATGTGAGTGGATTTTGGAGACAATTCATACTGTAGAGCAAGAAGCGAGGACAGGGTGGGCTTTTTGTTTTGGGGAGCTGGGAAGGGGGTGTGTGTGTGTGTGTGTGTGTCTTAAAAACTGCCATGAGGAACTTTGGGCAATGCTTACACTCTTTCATTCTTTTTTTTTCCTTATCCAAACAATCCGAGTCTGAAATTATTCACTTTTCTTCCTCTCCCCAAGAGAAGCACAGTTAAACAAGAGATAAGGGAGAATATGTTTGGAAAACAAAAACCTAAAAGGCATATAACCCTGAGCTTTCAGGACGGTCTTAAATCAGGATGCAGGTCAAAGATTCCCAAATTAATTCAGGAAGTAATGGTCACGCATTTCTCAAACGCAGATGTCAGAATAACTTAAGTGATTTACTGCTGAGCTCTTGAAAGGAGACAGGAACTTGGAAAATGTGCAATTCTTAAATTTGCACATTGTTTAGGTCAGAATCAGGCGAGGGAGGTGTAATTTTGAGGGAGAAGGCAAGCAGGAAGGAGAACAGCAGTATTTGCAAATAGTGGTTTGGCATGCTAGAATTCCCTTCACTTCCGGCTATGTGCTCTGGAAAAATGAAGCTGCCCAGTTCACACAAAATACAACCAAACATCTGGCCACTAAAAGTCATCCATTTCCCCAAAAAGCAGTTCCCTTCCAGTTAGCGAGTGGATTCGCCTGCTTACCCTCCACTAGTGATGTGAGCAGGGTCACGTTGGCTGCTTTACGTCTCCCTGCCGGCAGATTTAATCCTATTTTGTCCAGTTTTTCTCTTAAAGATCTTCCTCCATTTTTAGACTTCGCCCTGTTACACAAATACATGCAAAGAAGGGATTCAGAAGACATCGAGTTGCTCCGCATCGCTCTGCAGTTCTCTTGAAAGCGTCCTAGAATGCACCGTGGGAAACAGAAGCTTAGCCCCAAAACATTTAAGGGATGGGGACCAAGGAAGGAAGGCTGCACAGAAAGATCAGGAGAAAGCAACGCCAATGCTTCTTACACTGGAAAGCATCCCCTGTGTTCACTTATTACTGCAACTACTGTGGCAGGTTGGGAAGTTCTGATTTCCCAACTCTGTAAAGAAGAGCCACAAACAACCCACCGCGGCCGATCTCCAGGGCTTGAGGTATTCTGAGTTTAGCTGATTACTGTGTAGTCTTCCTGTTGTTACAATCACACAAATCCCAATGGAGTCTTTAACTGGTTTTTGTGAGATCTGCTGTTAGGTTGTTCAGAGTAACCAAAGTTATCATCACTCTCACGTTTCTTGCTCTGGCTCCAGCCCCAGTGGGAAATGCACTTCACCAACTGTTTACAGGCCATGTCACCAGCCTCACTGGTGATATCAGTCTTCAAAAACTTGCCGATTTCAGACAATGGAGACAGTTCTAAATAGATGTCTAAATAGACTCCCATCATCAGAAAGTGGTTAAGATAAATTGTTTAAATAAAACAGCAAATTAATTAATTTCAGATTTTATTCCCTACTCAAGTGCTCTTTAATTGTGTGGATTAGATTATACTCCCCCAGGTAAACAGTCTCCAGTATAGGGGGTGGGGGGAAGGGAGGGGACAGCAGAGGGCAGAGCGAAGATCCGAGTCAGTGAAACCTTAACAAACGCAAAGCAAAATGACTGGGAAGGCGGGATGCTAAAACCTTCCAGGCTTCGGATGGGACATTCCCACCATCGTGGAACTGTGGGGCCCTACATCCTAGATCAAAACCATGAAGTTCTTGGACGGACCCCAGGACAAAGAGGAGACGTGTGCTATACCACGACCCACAAGTCGCCATTTGGGTGCAGCCCTGGGAGTGCAAGCCCACAGCGGGGAGAACCCTGCCCTGAGGGTAGGCGCTTGGCCTCCACGACCCCAGGGAAGAAAATCTTAGGCCAGGAGAGGGAGGACTCCCGCCCTGCAGGGGTGAGGAGAGGCTCCGGCCCTGGCCTGGACCCAGGCAAGCAAGGTGGGAAAACGTGCCTCGCGCGCTTCCTGGCACACTGCAGGGGCCCGGGGCAGTGCGACCACCAGATGCCAGCGCCTCTGGCCCGAGGCTGGGGTGCAAGGGGCTGTCTTTGTCGGGAACCACTACTCTCCTCCTCTACTCAAAGCCATTCTATTAAAACCCTGCTCGGGGGACAGCTGTTAGAGGCTCTACAAGGGGTCAGGCAAAGCGAGGAGCCCGAGAGGAAGTTTCGCTGGGCATGCAAGGTCTGTGCAGAGCGCAAAAAGGCGGCTGCACGGCGCCCCGCGGCTGCGGCGGCCGGGACTGAGCCCGCGGCGAGCGAGCTGCGCGTGCGCGCGGAGGCGGGGCACCGGCGAGTCCGGCGAGCGCGCGGCGGCGTTCGGGGCGCGCGCGCGCGGAAAGGCGGCGGAGAGCGCAGGCGCGCGCCGCCTCGCCCCGCCCCTAGGTCCCACCCCCTCGCTCCGGCGCCCTTCTCCCCGCCCCTTTCCTCCCCTAGAAGGGAGGGTCGCCGCGCGCGAGCCCTGTCGGCGTCGCCGCCGCGCCGGCGCAGGCGCAGTGCGTCCCCCGGCCGCGGGCGCGGCGGGCCTCACCTCCGGAGCACTCCGCCCAGCAGCGATGCGTTGAGACACTCGGGCGGTGAGAGGCGCCGCTGCACTTCCGCCACTGTGACCTTGTACTTCGAGGTGGAGCTGAGGAGCGAGAGGCGACCCGGAACTGAACAGAAGACTTCGTTGGGGTTCACCACCCCGCCGAAGAGGTTGTCCTTGTTGATAGGGATGGCGGAGACGGCGTTGCTGTTGGATTTGGACAGGGACACGGGGCCTGCGGAGACAGAGGGGCTGCGTGTGGGCGTCGAGGATACCCCCAAATCCTGCTGGGCCGGCGCCGCACCCCGCTTTTTTCAGCGCTGAGACTCGAACCCTTTCCCCCACCTCTCCCAGCATCGCTCGACCCTGCGCGTGGGGTCTCGCCCCTGCCCCCGGGGCCGCCCCTGGCCCCTGCCCGTGCCCCCGGGGCCGCCGCCGACCGTGCCGGGCACAGCTGGGCGGTGAAACAGTGACCCCGTGGGCTCCGGGACCCCGAGGCGAGGGGCCGGGGCGGGGGCTGGGGTTGCAGACCGAGAGCGAGTCAAGTGCCCTTTCGGGTTTTTGCGGGGTGAGGGGCTTGGAGTCGGCCTCCAAGACCGATTATCGACACGGGCCGACAGACCGCTTAAACGGCTGGAGCAGCCAGTGAAGGGGCATCTCGGTTAGGGTACCAGGCCGCTGCTCTTAAAAAGAAGTAGCTGTTGGAGATGCGTTCCAGTCCCAGTAGGAGGAAGAGGGAAGAGGACCAGGCTTGGAGTACTAGCCGCGGGCGTCCCTTAGGGGCAGTAGTTAATTGCCCCTCTCGCCTGAAACACCTTCACTGAGGAGGAGGAAATACACAGTACACCAGCTCTTCAGTGTTGGACCCACCCTCTCCCCACATTGTTAGAAAAAAATCAAGAGCAGCACAAAGTCTAACTAATGTGTTACATGTTCTCAGCACCAGTACAGTTCAGACAGATTCCCAGCCATTTCTGCACGGTATGCGTTAGTAGTTAAGCATTCCACATTGGAGACATGAAGTATGCACAGAATTGCATCATAGGGCTCCTTGTGCGTTCTTTAATGGGGATATTCTGGCTGGATGGGGAGGTGGGGGTCTGTAGGTTTTGGATAGATCACTTGTGACATTAATAGCTCTGGGGAGGCTAATAGAGACAATAGGAGTTAAACGAACTCTTGAGAGATTACTAATAAAAGAGCCAATTATCATGTCGACTTGGAAAGAGCATCTCCCAAGATTTATCCCTTGCACATCTAATTTGACGTGACAAAGACTTCACAGATGCAAAAAATGAAACTTTAAACTAGCTAACAATATACTGATTGGGGTTAGAAATGAGAACAGTTTTATATAGCATCATCCTCTGGTGGTGCTTAGAATCCTGAAATGTAATATTGCCACCATAACCAAAAAAGAAAAAAAAAAAAAAAAAAGCTGCTACCAACAGTCAACAGCATTTAATCCAGGAAACTTTATTTCTACTCACTAAACACAATATAAATTACAAATCCATCAAATCACTTGACGCTTCCAACAATTTCTGTTCTGAGCAAATAAACTAATAATCCTGCCATCTTCAAGATGCTAATTTTAATCAAAAACTAAATTTTTATTAACCTAATTCACAAAGTTTTAAAACTTAAACAGCTAACAAGAGACTGAAGAAAATGAAAGTTTTTTCCTTTGCTGAGTGCTTTTTATTATCTTACTGAATAGTAATGCTAAATCATTTGCACTATTGTAGCATCATACACCTCTTAACACTTTTGGCCTTAACTCCACACGATGGATTATCTAAATTATTAAAACATTCCAAAATCGAAATGCCACTTCTAAACCAGTTCAGCTATTGCACATTTCATCTGTTTGTCCAGATACCATTAAACTAAATTAAACGGTCAAATCATGATTCAGAACAAAGCTAGCCTGTTGCCATTACTAAGATACTGAAAGCCGATTATTTAAGCACTGCTGTTCTATGCCTATCTATTTGCTAATTCTGAGCCTTTAGGAAATCCTATTTGAAAAAATAAATACAGCTCTGCAAGTTCTTTTAAATAGCGCTCTGCCTGTAAGGACATGCTTGGAATGCAGAAGGAAATGGCTTACCTTTCTTAATTACAGTTTGATCTGGGATGTTAATACCCGGGTCTTCTACGTGCTGCAACAAAAGGATACACATGGATGTAAGTGTATAATCAAAACAAAAGGAAATGAATATTCCCTGCAAGATGGGGGGAGGGGAAGGTGTAGAATCGAAATTCCCTCTCCCGTATAATGACATTTATATATAAACATCTCATCTTGGCTTATTGGAATTTGGGGCTTTGCAACTCAAGAGGTTTCACTGCACACCCAGGGCCAATTTCTCCTCCCCATTCCCTCCCTCCCACCCCCCACCCCCACCCCCAAACAATCTGCGTTGGAAGGAGATGGGGGTTGGGAATAAACTTTTTTTGGAAATTACATCAACTTTTGGAGCACCTAGTCTTTCTCACAGTTGGCTCAACCTTTAGAAATGCACCTGGCTTTAGTTTGGTGCCTAAGCGGCTTCGGACTTTACAGATTCCGGTATTTCAGGCAGCAAAAGCCAGAGAAACACAATAGAAATGACAGGGGCGGGAGTAAGAAGAGAGTAGTATAGACCATTTAGGGCGTATGATAAAGAGTAAGCACCTATGCACACCTTCACATGCATAAAACTAGAAATGATTTTTAAAGAACATACTACTGCCTAAATTGGAAATGACAACAATATGAAAATGATCAAGAAGAAACAAAAAAGCCCTTTTGAGGTTGCTTTCCTGTTGTCCAGCAGTAGGTTTGTCGCTGGCGTGGGATTTTCTTTCCCCCTCTCTCTCTCTTTTCTTACAGATGGATGGATATACGTGCGTGTGCTCAAGTCAAAACGTGATTAGAAAGTAAAATGAAATCATGTTTTCTAATGCAGAGAGCTGACAGGCAATATAATGTCTGGCTGTGTTTACAAATTAGCACCAGGGCTGCTGAGATAGAAGATTTCGCAATCGTTACCAAACACAGGCATTGCCATTTAAAAAACTATTACTTCCTTCTCTAGTCTTTGTCCAACAATAATACTGATTCGAACATTTTCCATTCTGTCTTGGATTTATGCTCCTGTTAATTGTGCCTGATCGCAATGATTCCGGGTGGATGGTACTAAGTTGCTTTATTACAGGTTTTATTATACTCAATGCTCTCATTTGTAACTTGCCTAAAGTGCTTCTGGATTTAAGTATAATTAAATTGAGAAATGTTCAGAAATGACTACTGCTGCAGTTCTTGTGTTTTAACTATATGGGGAAATATGATCCCTTTATGCATGTACCCTAAACCCATAAAGGAAATGCAGTGTGGCATAATACTTTTATTTGTATTATTTCTAGCTCTTGTCCATACAGGGAAGACTGTTAAGTTTAAAACCCCACTGAGATATTAATGATTAAATAATTTTCACCATTGATTTGATTTTCTTAAATATTCAGCAGCCTTTCTTATTAAAGGTTAACTGTTGCAGCAATGGGAAAATTGAAAACAACCCCCTTGCTGACCCAAATTCCTTTGAAAGAATTTTCTTCTTTAGAGGTGGGGGAGGGAGAAGGAAGAACAGCAACTGGGTTTCCTTGTTTTTATTTGATCTTTTGGTTTATTTCTTCTACTGACCAATTTCACCACAAAGGGTGACTATACAGGTGCTAAGAATTCACACCAGCCACTGAAATTTTTTGCAAAGTAGAGCAATTCTAATCCACAGCAGTTCCAAAAGCTTGCAACATTATTTTGCAATCCAAATATTTGCAGAGAGCAAGTGAGGAAAAGGATTCAAAGAGATTCTTTGGGAAGGGAACTAAAATGATCATGATTTCCAGTTCTATTTTTAAAGTGCTCTTTTATAAGGTATTACTCCTCTCATTTGACTCCTAAAATGCACTGCTAAGTACCAGTTTTTAAAAGCATGTAAGAATGAAAACACACACACACACACACACACACACACACACACACACAATGCCTGTGGCTTACTAATCCCTATGCTGAATCAGGTACCTACTTTCCAGTTTTCCATGCAAGGTCGCTAACTACAACCAACAAATTTCAGTGATTAACTGGATCAAATGAATGATGTAATAAATTTCCTATTTTCCTCTGGAACTTAAATAATGTCTTAAATCCACCAAGCAAGCAGGTAAGTTCATCTGACCATTTTCCTTACATCTAATGCAGTAATCATTAAACTGTCAACGGACATACTGCTGCAATATTTGATGCAGTAATTTGAAATAGCATTTTAGCAAAAATCACATCCAGATACATTTCCTCTCCAAAGCAGCTTTACCAGAAGCCTTTACAGCTTTAATAAAATTATTGGCTTGCTCTAATTCCATTTCAGTAAGGTTGGGAGGAAACCATAAATATATAGAATCGAAGCAGAGATGCTGGTTTAAACTTAATTTCAGAAAGTATTTTCAAATTATCAATAGCCTGGCTTGCACACACTGAACAGTAAAAGTGCTGATGCCATGCTTATGTAGGAATCATTTTAAACTGCATTTATTGATAACTGAATTACAAGTCAAATAAAATAGTGTATTACTCAATAGCCTCAAAACATTTAATTTCATGTTTCCTATGGGGTGTGGCAGGTTCTGATAGGCGTTGGGAACCCAGCTAATGATTTACGAGGTCACCACTTAGCACCCCTAGGAGGAGGAGAAGGTTGCAATTTAATGTCCCCCTCAGCTTGGATCTGCTACTGTTCTGTAGTCAGGACAGGGTGTGGGTATAACTTTAGGGCTGCACTTGTGCTTGGAAAATCCGGATAGAATGCTCTTAGAACGTTTCCACGGTTTCCTTCACCAAGTGAAGCTCTTTGGGTTAAATAAAACATCTTGCCCAGGACAGGGGGAAACCCCCAGGCCCGACCCAGCGGTGAGAATTAAGCCCTGTCCCCATCGAACACAGTTTACTTCCCATGGTGACATTCGCCTGATTTATCCCTGTGCTGGTGGAAAAGGCAGTGTGGGCATTGTTCGAGGGAGCTCCAGGAACCATTGTTCTGCGGGCAGAAATCTCAACTACTTATGATTATTAATCATTATTGTTTCATTCGACCCCCTACGTGTAGGTCCTCAAAGCGCACCCCCCCACACACACACGCATACCCCCAAGATCCTCCAAAATAAAATAAAGTGTTTTATTATAAGGGAAACATCACCGAACCCACCAGCCCGCGGGGTCCCGGGGTCTCCTCCGGGCACTGGCCAGCTCAGGCGCCGCGTGTCCTGGCGCGGGGCCTCTTACCGGGACGTCCTCGATGGCGTGAGGTAAGGAGTGGATCGGGAGGTCTCCGAGTCCTGAGCCGAGCCCGTGTGGGCCGTGCAGGAGGTCCTCGTGCCGCCGGTAGTCCCTGCGAGGATCCAGGCCCGACAGCTGGTGCGGCAGCCCCCGGTGCGTGTGCAGAAGCCCAGACTCCTGGCTCTGCCTCTGGCCGGGCCAGCCCGGGTGCTGCGGCTGCGGCTGGGCGTGCAGGGGGTTCAGGCTGTAGGGGTCGTTGACGTGGGAGTAAGGATCTTGGGACTGGGGGTAGATAGGCTGGTAGGGCGGGGGGAAGTAGGGGGGCTGGAAGTCGGCATTGGGGGTGTGGGACAGCGGCGGGGCGCTGGTGTAGGGAGATTGACCTACAGTGCCCAGCTGGGGCAACCGTGCCGTCCCGTTGCTGGTGCCGTCGTGACGGTCCTGGAAGAGAGCGGAGAACCAGAGGTGAGGTGTCGAGGCTGGGCTGGGCACCCCGCGTCCACTCGGCAGAGCCTGCCCGTTCCGGCTGCCCGGTCCGCAGAACGCCCGCGAAGGGAAGCAGGCCCGTGCCCCACCGCACACGGCCGAGGACTGCATCAATGCGGAGCGCCCCCCCACACCAGAGGCTCTCCGGGGCGTTTCTTTCCAAGGGTGTGTGTGTGTGTGTGCACAGGGGGGACAGACAGAAAAGGGGGCCTCCCGGGGTGCACCCCGTTCAATCGCAGAGCGAAACCTCCCTCGAGCAAAATCTTCAACATCCCTTCCCGCCAGGACGCGGCAGAAGCGGCTCGGAGTTTGAACCTGTCTGGCGTGGTTTACTCTCCTCCATGTATTTGGAGGAGGGGGAATTAAAAAAAAAAATCGTCAACCTTCAAAGACCATTACCATTTCACGACGGCTTAAACAGAAACATATTTCGCAGGGGGCTGTAACGAAAGCACGCGTTGGGATTACCAGCTTAGGGCGCGCTTTCTCGGCAAGATCGGGGGTCTTTCTGGCTTTTCCTCCTCCAAGGGGTCGATTTAGATGGGATACGGAGGGGGAACGGGGGGTGGGTGCTTCGAGTCAGAGGTTTCAAACAGAAAGATGCGGGCCGCGCTGGATTTCCAACAAGCAGGAGCACCCCGGGGCGGAGGCCCCCTCCCCACCCCCGCCCCTTCCACCCCAGCCCCGAAGGGCGAAAGAAACGCCTGATTTTAGGTTTCTCCACTGCAATTCGCTCGCAAAAACGGGCAGAGAGAGTTGATTGCGGGGCTCTGAGAACCCGCAAAGGTGCAGCCTCAGGCCCCGAGGGTAAGGGGGGCGCACCGGGCTGCAGCTGGTTTTCCCCCCCCCACATCCTGCAGACGGATTAAGCATCCAATGCTGAGAACACCTCGGGACGCGAGGACAGCAAGGCGAGCACGCCGCGAAGCACGCCTGGGCAGGCGGCGGCGGCGGCGGCGGCGGCGGGGTAGGTCTGTGCGCGCGGAGAGGGCGAGCCGGGGCGCGGGTGGGCAGCAGTGCGCTGGGTTTCAGGGTGGAAAAGAGCTAGAGAAAGAAGGGAAGCAAGGGAAGGAAACGCGAACGGAAGGGGGTGTCCCATAGGCACCCCGGGCGTGCAGCCCGACCGGAATCGCCGAGGAAACGGAGACGGGGGTGGGGGACGAGTGGGACTCACCATAGCTGAAAAACTGTGAACTAACATCTGCGAAGAGTCTGGGGTAACGAGTCAGGGTGGAAAGAAAAAAAAAAAAAAAAAAGGCAAGCCCGGAGCGCCCGGCTGCCCCGCCGCCCGAGCGCGCCCCACACAAAAGGGGGCCGAGAGCCGCGCGCCACCCCGGACTCGAGTCACGGCGCCGACGCTCCCCGGAGCGCGGGAGCCTCGCTCGGATCCATCCGAACTGGAACCACCGATCCGCGCGGCGCCTTCAGCTGGTCGAACGCACGGTCTCTATCTCGCCGTGATCGGTTAGGATGCAAAGTTCTCTTTTTTAAAATAAAATAAAAATTAAAAAAAAAACCCAAAAGGGAAAAAGTGTGGGTGAGTGTGTGTGCGTGCGTGCGTGTTCCTTAATCCGTGTCTCCCCCTCTTTTCTTGGCGGCGGCTTCGCTTGAGCTTCTAATAACCGCGCCGGGCAGCGTTCCTTGAGTCTCCTAATAGCAGATATTCATGACTATTAATATTACACGAATACTTAATAAGGGAAGAATGCCTGGAAATCGAGCGTGAAGCGGAGAGGCAACTCGCGCCGGAGCCGGCTCTCAATGCAGTCCATTGACGGGAGCCTCAGTGTAGCAAATCGGAGGTGGGGAGAGGGAGCGCCGGAGACAAAAAGCGGGCGAGAGAGGGAGCGGGAGAGCGCGCGGGGGGCCGCGGCGCGGCGTCTGGCGAATCACAGGGAAGGGGCAACATTTTAAAAGGTTGCGGGGCATGCAAAAGTGAAAGAGAAAGAGGGAGAGCGCGCCGAGAGCGAGAATGGGTCTGCGTGCGTGTGTGAGAAAGAAAGTGTGGGCGAGGGAGAGGAGCGCGGAGTGGGGCGAGGGGAGGGCGCGAGGGAGGAAGAGCCTGCGAGGAGGAGGAAGGGAGG